GTTCAGCAGTTTCCTGCAGACTATATGCACCAATGCTGTCTTGGTGTTATGCGAAAACTGATTTTGTTGTGGATGCGTGGAAAGCTCAAAACCCGTTTGTCATCTGGTCAGATAAGGGAGATAAGTTCCCGACTTCTTGACTTAAGGCCATTCATACCAGACCTTTTCGCTAGAAAGCCACGTGGCCTAGACGAAATAGACAGGTGGAAAGCTACTGAATTGCGACAATTTGCCCTTTACACAGGCAAAATTGTCTTGAAAGGCATTCTCTCTGACGATCTCTATGAACACTTTTTGTTGTTCAGTGTGGCATTGTCCATTCTGGTATGCCCATGTCTTGTGAAAGAATATAACTCATATGCTGCGGATCTTATGGTTCACTTTGTGGAGGATGGTAGAAAGTTGTATGGGGATGAGTTCTTGGTGTACAACGTGCACTCTTTGGTTCACCTTGCCTCTGATGCATATAAATATGGTGGACTAGACGAATGTAGTGCTTTTCCTTTTGAAAACTACCTACATCAGCTGAAGAAGTTTGTCCGCTCTGGTAGACATCCTCTGTCGCAAATTGTCAAACGTCTCAGTGAAATTGACAAGCACAAAGAAGAGTTAAAAAAACAGCCCAAAGCTGTGGTTAATACTCAGAAACCCAACAATGCTTATGCTCTTAGTGACGTCCAGTGCTGTGAGGTAATTTCTGTCATGGGTGAAAACAGAGACAAAGAAAGAATGGTACTTTGTCGCATTTATGAGAAACTTGAGCCATTCTTTATACATCCTTCTGACTCTAGGTTGATTGGTGTTTACAAGGCTCATGTAAGGCACACTAGAATGAAAACATTGTCTGAGAGGCAACTGGTCAGAAAGGCATTTTTAATTGAGGCTGGGAACGGTGCTTGCATTGTCCTCTCAGTGCTTCATTCATACTGAGCTGTAATCTTTTTTTTTATTAAAATCATTTTTTTTCCTATTATTATTTTCCCCCACCACCCCTAGCATTTTTATCTGTTGTTCAAGTAATTACCCAGTCAAATTGATTTGTCAATGTTAATGCCACTTTATCAGCACTGTCTGATATTTATTCATACCACTACAACCAACAATACCTATCATGTGGATATGTGCTTGTTCCAACATCTATCTGCCTCGTCAATGGTTTTTCATATATCTTGATCAACACTTGATCCTCCAACAATAGCGCTTCCTATTATTTTATTCTAAATAGATCTGTTTGTTCTTCGTCTTTTCTTTGTTTGTTTGTTTAAAAAAAAAGGTACACTATGCTAAACTAACTGAGACTTGTCACAGCATCTACATACTGTTGCTTTTCTGATGATTTGAAGTGCTTCTATTATCCTCATTTGTAAGTCACTTTGGATAAAAGTGTCTGCTAAATGAATAAATGTAAATGTAAATCTTTATCTAAATAGAGGACTGATTGTGTAAAATTTATGAATTAATTATTTGTTATGTTTATAATTTTGTCTTTTTCATAATTTTGTGATTGAATAAGATAATTTACTCATTGATTGTTCTACTTCTGATGTGATCATTATTTTAAACAAACATTTCTTTATGATTAAGTCTTTCTATGATTGAATGCAAGGATTGGCCTTACATTTCTTACAGTTACAAGAGAACCATATTTTCTTAACAGGGCCAGAAAAATCACTGTTATACTGTATAGCAGTGCAGAGAAATAATAAAAAATCAAAGCCAAAGCATTGTAATGCTCCATTTGTGTATCTACAATTACACTGTTGGTTTCATTTATTTGTATACCCATAACATGTTGTACTGAAGATGATGATTCAAATTTGGAGGCAAACAGTACATTTTCATGTAGAACTATAAAATACAGCTCATAGTTCTCATCTACAGCATCTCCATGATGGTGATTTCAAATGAAACACCTTTATTTCACAATGCATTGTTATATTGTTGTTTTCTTTTTTATAATTACACAACAACATATTTAAAGCAGTGGTTCTCAACTTTGGCACACAAGATTTAAGGTCTACTTGCATGCAGGCTGTAGCTGATAAAACACACCTGAACTAATCAAGGTCTTTAGGAATAGGTGCTGAGTGCAAAGATCAACTGTTTTAAAGAATAATATAGCATTCCATTGTGGAATGAAGGTGTTATGTTTAAAGTATGACAACAACATGTAGCCTGTATTGATTTTACATCACACCTTTTACCTTCATTTTTGTTTCTTCTTTAGAAATTGCATAACTGCTATGCTGTGATTACATTTCCTGAAGATAACACTGTTGATGTTGTGCCTTCCACATGGCTCGATATAACAAGTGAGGTATTACCTATAATTCTTATCTAATACTTTTACAATTGTATGTGTGTCATTAGTCTGCAGTATATATAGCTTGTAGTAGGTGCATATCTTTTTAATTGTTGAAATGAAGCTCTTGTTCTAAATAGGCTGTATATTGCTATTGGCCATGTAAAAACTTTACGGCCAAGGTGAAACGAAGAGAGAGACCTGATACTACACTTTGGTCGAAGCATGTTGCGTCTATTCTGGTATATGCAGGTATAAAGGATCTGTTTGAGGTTTCTTATATTTTTGTTGTTTATGTTGATTGTCTTTTACCGATCTACTCTTTATTTCCAGACAGCTACGAAGAATCCAGGTGCAAAGCAAATCAAGCAACCATGACTTCAAACTTGGAGAGTGACGATGAAGATCATATTCATAGAAAAAGAAGACCACCAGCACGATACGTGAGAGCATTAGCTAGTGGCAAGTACAATCTTTTTGTTAATACACTATTATGACTCTACAAAGTTGCATTTATGTTTAATTTAAAACCATTTTATTGAGACTGGGTATGATTACCAAAACGTAAGTACAGATATCTGTATGTCAGAACTGAAGAAACTGGAACGAGCCATGTTTGTTCGACTGGACAAGTTGGACCAGAATCTTTCAGATATCAAGTCTTTGCTTTTAGGTCTTGTCCCACCACAAAGTGACTCTGATGACTTCCTGTTAAATCCTTGCCAGACCACAAATGATTTGGACGATTTGTGCGTCAAGTTAAAAGACCAAGAATACAAGAAGAAAACTGTAAGTTAATGAATTAAAATTAGCTTGTAGAATTATGTTTACTATTTGTGTAAACCATTTCTCATTCTTTTACTCAAGCCCAACATTCCTTTTTGACCACATTGTATACTATTTTTGAGGTCTTAATAAATTTACATAGTGTTGATATGGAACTAATGCACATACCTGTAAGCAGGGGCGTAGAATTAGGGGGTGCGCCAGGGACGTGTCCCTACCAATATCCAGCGACTGCCAAAACTTTCCCTAGCAATAATTTTGATCAAACAATTAAATATATGTATATGTTTTTGTAATTTCGCATCTGATGACGCATCTGAAACGTCATACCATTGATATTACCTAAGAAGTTAAAGTAAATAGGCTACGTTAGAAAACTGCGCACTTTCAAGGACAAGCGCATTAAATTTTTTAAATGGGCGGAATGTAGTCACACACCAGACGAGAAAAGCACAACTCAGGTATTGTACCCAGTTCAAGACAGCAGTCCAAAACAGTTAATATAGAAGTTCACTTCAGGAATTAACAAAGTTGCATCGATGAGTTTGAAGTACGGTGTTTGACAAAACAGAGCAAAGAGAAAGAGAAAGCGCAATCTATGGCTATTATTAGCTCCCTATATAAAGCATACGGACAGAAAAAGGTTGCGCGGAAAGATACACAATCTTCCAGCCTAGGATAAAGCCATTATGAACATTAACAATAATTTGGGACAAACATAATGGGACTTTATGGTAAAAATATGTAAGTGGCACTCTGTGGTGCAGCAGGATTTGGAACAGCATCACCGCGGACAATCTTTAACTTCAAGTTGTTACTTGAAGTTACTTCAAGTTGTTACAATCTTTAACTTCAAGTTGTTTCAAGACCAAACTGTTAGCTGAAATATCCACAAAATAAAAAAACAACACTGAAATAAGAGCGTGCGGTTTATGTCAATCAGATGCATGTGAAAGTTGTGTTCGTTACTACAGCAACAGCAGAGTATTCTTTCAGAAAGAATCATCTTGGGTCCAATTCGATTAATATTAAAATGAAGTGATGCGTGATAAAGAAAACCAGCACTCTAATGCTGATGCTGTTGGTTCACAAAATAAAAATTTTTAATTATTGTCTGTTAAACATACTAACAAAAAAAAAACTGTTTAGGAGTTATGAATATGTTGGCAAACATAAGCTGTAAACGAAGACTTTAGGTGATATGAAACTGTGGTCAAAGGTCTATCAGAAATGCGAAAATTATTGGGTGTTTGGTGCGGGGGGGGGAGAGTTGCGGGTATTTGCGTTTATGTCCCCACCAATGTCACCAATGTCCGTACGCCCTTGCCTGTAAGCACACATTTTATTCATTGTTGAAGTCTACTCAAGCACAAAAAGCACAAAGTCTATGCTTTGTTTGTCTATTTGAATGCTCATGTTCCATCTATCGTGCACTATGTAGAAAGGGTATTATTGTACTGTCAGTTGATTGGTTAAAATTTTCAGATGTGAAAAGTTCTTTTAATAATCATAATTGTGTATTTACAACACTGAGACCTTGTTTAATTTTTTTTTCTCTTTGATGCATTGTTTATTTCTAAAAAATCTTTTCAGAAGCCTGCCGCAAGATGCATCCAAAGGTGTCTACAAAGATGCTTTGTGAGTATATAGCAGACACCTTGAAGTATGCCCCACATCGAGGAACAAGGGTAAGTCAGTGATCTTTTCCCACATACAGTTTCCCTCCTTGGTTATTTTTCTTATTAAAATTTGTAAATTTGATTGAGTCTTTGTCCATTTACAATATTCATGTTATTTTCTCAAATAGAAATTTTCAATAAAGGACTAATTTTGTTTGTTCATCAAGCTATCATATTGATAGATACATCTGTGACTATGACATTGTAGATCCTATAGATCCAAGGTTTTGAGTCCAGTTCACTAGGTCTTGCACTAGGTCTCACTAGATCTCGGTTTGTCAGGAAATGACTTTGCCCATTGCTCACAGATAGGGGCGTAGCAGCCATTTTAAAAGTGTGGTGTGGGGTGGGGGGGGGACAGTTGTCAGGTGATGAGACCCTCAAAGGCAAACAGTTATGTACATAATGTACAAAGTAAACACATTAATTAAGTACTAAAGTATTAAAATAGAAGTATTCAGTGCAAAACAGCTTTGTTTATTGGGAAAGGATAATTCTACTCCGTACGCGAGCAACACGATGCGACAACAGACAGCAGAACCCAATAATCAGTTATGTCTCATTTAGCAGACGCTTTTATCCAAAGCGACAAGTAGGAGAGCATTTAACACACACTGGATCCGGCACGACGTGACGAGGTTCTTAATGGGTTCTATTGTCTTTTGTCGCACTTTTGTCGCACTCGGTCCGAGCGTTTTAATTGGCTTTCCTACCTGCCTGTCAACGTATGTATTAGCACAGTGTTTCCCAACCGGGGTGCCGTCTGTCGAGAGCAGGGGTGCCGTGTAAAAAAATCATTTTTTTATATTTTTAAATTGCTAAAATGTTCAAAAAAGCATCTATTATATAATATCCATTTCTGATGTTGTGTTCGTTACTACAGCAACAGCAGAGTATTCTTTCAGAAAGAATAATCTTGGGTCCAATTCGATTAATATTAAAATGAAGTGATGCGTGATAAAGAAAACCAGCACTCTAATGCTGATGCTGTTGGTTCACAAAATAAAATTTTTTAATTATTGTCTGTTAAACATACTAACAAAAAAAAAACTGTTTAGGAGTTATGAATATGTTGGCAAACATAAGCTGTAAACGAAGACTTTAGGTGATATGAAACTGTGGTCAAAGGTCTATCAGAAATGCGAAAATTATTGGGTGTTTGGTGCGGGGGGGGGAGAGTTGCGGGTATTTGCGTTTATGTCCCCACCAATGTCAAAAGGAAACCTACGCCCTTGCCTGTAAGCACACATTTTATTCATTGTTGAAGTCTACTCAAGCACAAAGCGGATTGATCTATGCTTTGTCTATTTGAATGCTCATGTTCCATCTATCATGCACTATGTAGAAAGGGTATTATTGTACTGTCAATTGATTGGTTCACATTTTCAGATGTGAAAAGCTCTTTTAATAATCATAATTCTGTATTTACAACACTGAGACCTTGTCTAATTTATTTTTTCTCTTTCATGCATAGTTTATTTCAAAAAAATCTTTTCAGAAGCCTGCCGCAAGATGCATCCAAAGGTGTCTACAAAGATGCTTTGTGAGTATATAGCAGACACCTTGAAGTATGCCCCACATCGAGGAACAAGGGTAAGTCAGTGATCTTTTCCCACATACAGTTTCCCTCCTTGGTTATTTTTCTTATTAAAATTTGTAAATTTGATTGAGTCTTTGTCCATTTACAATATTCATGTTATTTTCTCAAATAGAAATTTTCAATAAAGGACTAATTTTGTTTGTTCATCAAGCTATCATATTGATAGATACATCTGTGACTATGACATTGTAGATCCTATAGATCCAAGGTTTTGAGTCCAGTTCACTAGGTCTTGCACTAGGTCTCACTAGATCTCGGTTTGTCAGGAAATGACTTTGCCCATTGCTCACAGATAGGGGCGTAGCAGCCATTTTAAAAGTGTGGTGTGGGGTGGGGGGGGGACAGTTGTCAGGTGATGAGACCCTCAAAGGCAAACAGTTATGTACATAATGTACAAAGTAAATATATTAATTAAAGTACTAAAATATGATAAATTATTAAAATATAAGTATTCAGTGCAAAACAACTTTGTTTATTGGGAAAGGATAATTCTACTCCGTACGCGAGCAACACGATGCGACAACAGACAGCAGAACCCAATAATCAGTTATGTCTCATTTAGCAGACGCTTTTATCCAAAGCGACAAGTAGGAGAGCATTTAACACACACTGGATCCGGCACGACGTGACGAGGTTCTTAATGGGTTCTATTGTCTTTTGTCGCACTTTTGTCGCACTCGGTCCGAGCGTTTTAATTGGCTTTCCTACCTGCCTGTCAACGTATGTATTAGCACAGTGTTTCCCAACCGGGGTGCCGTCTGCCGGCGCGACGTGACGAGGTTCTTAACGGGTTCTATTGTCTTTTGTCACGTCGTATGATTGCATCGCTTGCATCCAGTGTAGACGCGATGTTACAGTAGGTTAAATCATAACACTGTAAAGTCATATCTACAACCCCATTTCCAGAAAAGTTGGGACACTTTGTAAAATATAAATTAAAACTGAATGCAGTGATTTACAAATCTTTTAAACCCATAAAAATAAGGTATTTTTGATTTTGATGTTAGCAACAACAGGGCCATGTTTACCACTGAGTAGCATCCCTGCTGTATAAATCTGGGAATTGAGTTAGCATTGTCTGGTGGAAATATGCAAGGCCTTCCATGAAAAAGACATCATCTGCATGGAAGCTTAGAACTAAGATATGATTCTTCTCCTCTTTGGTCCATCCATGGTTTCCAAAAAGAATTGCAAATTTTGATTCTTGATTCGTCAGACAAACTTTGCCTCTGTCCATTTTAAATGAGCTTTGGCCCAGAGAAGACAGTGTTGTTTCTTGATCACAGGCAGTGATTTCCATTACAGAATCATGCCAGTTTTTAATGCAGACCCAAAGATTACAGGTATGCAATACTGATTCAGTCAAGTCCCTTTAGCACAGAGATTTCTCC